TAATAATACAAAGTCTACTGAGAAAATCGTCAAAATCTATGCTGTATAAGCTTTATCTCCTATAGCACTGATTGTTCAGATAACCGTTTTTACCATATATCTCCTTTATGTAGGAAACTAAACCCAATAAATCGTGTTATCGGTTTACATACCGATTACATAGTAGTGAAAATCACTTAGATTGGTGCCATATAAAGTATATCTTCCATACCTGTGATTGTTTAGATGCGATTTTTTATATAAGTATGTAACTCCTCTATCGATGTATGCAGATGTATTCAAAAGCAGTAATCTGTCAAAGTAAAATTTGCATATGTTCATGAAAGGTATGAAGCCTTCGGCTAGCCGAAGACAGCGCTGCTCATACTTGTTTGTTAATAAGATTAGATTTGCACAGTACATTCAATTTAAAAAATTGAGGTGTCAAACGAAAAGGTTTGACCTTCCGATTTGCAGTAAGGTTTTAGTTTTTGAAGAGAGTTGCAACCTGTGCGAAAAATTAAAAAATGTGGGCTGTTCGTTATATTGCAAGAAATGAGATGTCAAATGAAAGGTCTTGGCCTCCAGATGCGCAATTATATACTATATTTTAGTAGGGTTGCAACCTGTTTAGTTGTTAATCGCATCTTATTTAATATCTACACATACATTCGCGCATACGAGGCCGGATATTGTAAAATAATTACAAAACAGTATGAAATATCCATCATCATGCAAATTTGCATGCCAAGATCTGTACAAAATAACTAAAAGTTAATGTATCTTTGTATCATATTTAGTATATCTGTGTTTGTATGGAAAAGTAGCTTATGTCGAAAGGCTGGATTTAGTATAATGCGGCATTCCCTTTATTCTTTAAACCACAAGGAATTTTTTGATGAGAATTAATAAGAATATTGACTTGCTAGTATCGGAACTATTTCTTGCACGTTTATTTGCCAAAAGTTGTTCAACGGCTCAGCGCCAGTGAGTCATCCGCAATCGTATGCTGTGATTGGCGACTTATACTAAAGCCAGCCTTTCGACATAAGCTACTTTTCCATACGAACACAGATATATACAGAAACACAAACGACAAACTTTTTTCCACTCATTATCACTTTTATCAGGAAAAAATCTCAGATTAGTTACACAAAAATATTCAAAAAATCGCGCTTTTCTTTCAATTACAACAAACAGCGGAATGACAAGTTCAAAACCGATATAGTGATTGTGACACTTATGGTGATTTCGTTTCTACCAAAAACTGTTGCCCTGGCACGGTGCAAAATGTGTTTGCTGTTACACTCAACCCTCTCAAAGGGCATGTTTTTGCCCTCCTGTCCTTGTCCAGCTAACGCATTTCATAATATTATCGTTTTAAGCAGTTATCTGATTTTCAGGGCAACCTTCTCCCATGAAAGAGTTTCAAAGGGCAGAAAATGTGCCTTTGTCTTACAAGAGTGTGACATTTTAAGAAACGAACACAAACTTTTCTCACCGTATGCCCTTGTTTTACAATCGAACACGGAAATATAAAGGGGCAACCAAAATGCAAAATTTTTTGGTAGAAACGAAAACACCATTAATTTTTGGGCTGCTACGTTTCTTATTGCGCAAGGTTGCCAGCAACTATCAATTTACAGTACACATGTTTTCTTCCTTAAATGTTACGATGGAAATTTCCATCATCATACAAAGAAGGGTCACATTTATTGGATTTAATTGACGAATAAATACAGAATATAGAAAAATCAAAAATATGGATCGAAATAAATAATATAATTTTCTCTAACTGTCGCTTTTAAGGAAAAAGTACCAAAATCAAAATCAACGTACCAACGTACCAACGTACCAAATCCTTTTCAAAGTACCAGTTTTGGTACGAAAGTACCGAAATTGGCAACGCTGGTTGCGAAAGCAAACGGCCGGAGAAAATTCGAATTAGCCGGCAGCCGATTTGTTAGCCGCTTTTACAACAAAAATTAGCCGTTTTTAGGAGATTTTCCTATTTGCAACATTTTCTTACAATTTATATATGTATATATATGTTTCCATTTTTACAAATTTAGCGATCCAAAACCTATTTTTCATGTCGAACTCTGTTACATATATACAATTGAAAGACAGCTTTTTCTAATCCGAAAAGTCTTCGAGTACTGGGCCGATTTCAGTGATTTTTATTTTAAGCACATATACATTGACCTAAATATAAACTGGGATGCGACATTTTAGCAAGATTTGGCTATTTTTCTTTAGTCAATTTAATGTTTATTCTTTGTTTATGAAAATATAGCTGATTACTTAAAAATACCATTTATACTTTGTGGAAATAATATGAAAATTCCTCAAATTTTCACCAAAATTTTAATCATAATAATAATCTCAACGGTTTTTACCCTCCATCCCCACGAGGAGCGCGGTCCGTCTGACGTGCGGAACCAATACTTTAAATTTTTGCGCCGAGTCACGATAGGCAGGAGTTTGTTAAGTGTCATGATGTAAAACTGTTCAGCTACAGAACTAATTTCATCAGCTGATTTTATGTCTTTATGTTAATAATTCATTTGTTGAGAGAGGATAGTATCGCTTTCTCAATGCTGAAAAGCGAATCAGATAAATCAAATGTGCTGGAATGAGAATTAAAATCCTGGAATAAGCAACGGAGTGGCTCGTGAAATTCGAAATTAGTTTTACAAAAATAGGGGATAAAAGTGTCTTGGAAGGGTCCAGAAGAAGCGGAATTTAAATTGAGCCTATCAGTAATTTAACTATAAAAATTGTACCAAGCATTTCCCTTCGACCGACAAGTGTAGGAAGATTAATAAGTTTTAATTGGCTCGTATAAGGCAGAAGGTTATATTGAGAATCCCAACGGAAATTTCTTAAAGAAAAAAGTAGGAATTGTTTTTGAATTGACTGTATCTTGTCTGAGTAAATTTGATACCTTGGATTCCAAACCACCGAACCGTATTCCAGAATCGATCTGACTAACGTTGTAAACAGGGTTTTAGTGATATAAGGGTCACTAAATTCCTTTGACCATCGTTTCACAAATGCAAGTACACCTTTAGCCTTGTTGACTGTCACATTAATGTGAAGATTAAAATTAAGTTTCGGATCCATTATAATACCAAGGTCCACAAAATTGTATACCTGTTCCAAATTATGGTTATCTATTGTATAAGAAAGTGGCTGAACAGCTCTTCGCAAGAAGCACATTACTTTACATTTTTCCAGATTTAGAGGCATACGATTTACATAGCATCAGTTAGCGCTGCTGTTTAAGTCTGCTTGTAGCAAATGCTTTTCTTTCATTGATATGTACGATTTATAAATTTTCACATCATCTGCGTACATTAAAATTTTTGAAAATTTTATATCTGTAGAAATATTGTTTATAAAAAGCAAGAACAGAATCGGGCCTAGGTGGCTACCTTGCGGGACTCGTGACGTACCATCTATCATAGCGGTATGAAGATATCCAACGTAGAAAATTAGGTTGAAGACCAAGAAGATCAAGTATATAGATGAGCAACGAGTGATATACTTTATCAAATGCTTTACTGAAGTCGGTATATGTATATAACATCCACATTTTTGTTTTCACTAAACGCTTTTGAGATATAGGTTGTGAACTCAAGTAAATTTGTTGAAGTTGATTTGCCTTTGCAAAACCCATGTTGCCAGTATGAAATGGTAGAGAAGATAGAATGCGTCAACTGATTTGTAATAATTGCTTCAAATAATTTAGGACTTGCAGAGAGCTTAGCTATGCCCCTATAGTTCTCCACCGAGAACCTGCTACCGCTCTTCTTTAGCGGGGTTATGAACGATTCCTTCCATACGGTTGGAAAGATGCCTTCTTTAAGAGGCAAATTAAATAAGGCTGTTAACGGCCTTTTGATACTTCATGGCGGACGGTTTTTTGACACTTCATGGCGGAAGGAAGCCCACGTACATTTTGCTTGGAGTTAACAAAATCATAATTTGATTTGGGGTTATATGTATATTATACGTCGTTTGATTTTACTTTAAGCTTTATAACACTTTTTGTTTAATTCAAAGAACTTGTGACGCAACTTTAAGCAAGACCTGCGAAGACCTTTCCCTGCAGAGAGTGACGTTAGCTTATACCTAACTTTAGTCTGTTTACGCGAACACTAGTGCTAACTATTAACTGTGTATTTTGTTCGAAAAAAGCTAACTACTTTTGTGGGGCGATGGCCGCAAAAAAGTCAGACCTGGATACCTCTGCATTACATGTCAACTAACTTGTAACTAACTACTTTTGGACATAAAATATCAATAAGAAAAACAAAATATTTTTTTGTTTTTTTACTTTTTTATTTACTTATTTATTTACTTTATTTTATTACATTTCATATTTGTTTACATATTCTGCTCTGGGTGGCCCCATATTCGAACACCGTCAGACATAACTTCAAAATGATAGTATAAAATTTCGATCTTCCTTTTATTTGTCCTGAATATGAAAAAGAATCTGCGAAGTTCAGAAAAAAAGTGTATTGAAAGTAATTTTTGTATGAGGATATTTAATAGAAACTTGTAAAGAAAACCAACTCCCGATTGCGTCTGCATGACTCCTGCACGACTTTACAATTCACTTTAAGCTGGTTTTGTCATAGCTAATTAAAAGTGAGGTATTAATCGAAATCTCGCCAAAAAGCTAACTATAAGTTGGTTAGTTTTAACAATTGATAATTTTTCACTGCAGGGTTGCCATCATTAATAGCGTCCAGAATTCTTCCTGTCAAACCAGCACATTTTAGATGGCAAATACCATCACAGAGCCAGCACGATTCAGAATCGCTTTTAATTTGGCAATTATCAAAATCACACTTCATAGTAAAAAATTAAAAACAATTATGTTAATAAGAAGCAAACTAAATTATAACAGATTAGGAGCTGATGTATTTATATGTGGCGATCAGTTTGATTATCACTGTATTATGACACTTAATAAACGCAAGGCAAACAGATGTGTCTGGAATTACTAAAAGAAGTAAACAAAAAGAGCAAAAGAAATGTGCAAAAATAAAAACGATTTCAGTTAAGGAATTACAACAACAATGATATCAACAAATGACTTGGCAAGATTGGATGTATGCTAGTTAAATTTAATTAAATTTAATATAAAACACAAAACTATCACTTAGCTTCGATTATTTTCACACTAAGATGCTTGCAGACACTTTTTGTAACAACTTTAACTCAGAATTCGCACAATAAATTTTTCAAATAGAAAGACAAATCGGAGCACAATATAAGTTGAACCTCACAGCTTGACGTTTGTTTAAACAGCGTAATAAAGTAAAAAATTAAAGTACCTACCATTTACCGCTTATTTTTGGCAATTTTTTTTGTTGACGGTGTGTCTCATTATTATACCTTTATAAGCAAGAAATGGTATTATAACTTTGGTCCAGACAGGTTACAGATAAAATTTGGTAGGTGAGTGTATTTTTATATCGTATTAATCATTTGTCGGAACCGGAAGAATCGGACCACTATAACCTATAGCCTCCATACAACTGATTGTGCAGATATGAGATTTTTTGTTATCACTCCTCCGTTTATGCAGCTAGGAACATTAAATTTAACAATACTTCCACTCATTATCAACAGAAATCTTAGAGTGAAAATTAAAAAGATCAGGTCACTAGAACCCATAGCTCCCATACAACTGATTGTTCAGAATAAGATTTTTCGTTATAACTCCTCCATTTAAGTACCTAGGAACATGTAATTTTACACGGTTATCACTCATTATCAAAAAAAAATACTTTCAGTGAAAATGGCGAAGATTAAGTAGCTATAACTTATAGCCCCAATACAACTGATTGTTCAGATATGAGATTTTTTGCCATAACTTCTTCATTTAAGCAGCTAGGAACATCAAAATTCGCACAGTTTTCACTCATTATTAACAAAATGCTTACAGTGAAAATAACAAAGATGGGGTCACTATAACATATATCTCCGATACAACTGATTGTTCAGTTATGAGAATTTTCGTTACAACTCCTCCATTTATGCAGCTAGGAAAATTAAATTTTGCCATACTTCCATCCATTAACAGAATACTTACAGTGAAAATAACCAATTATTTCCTAAAAATTACATAAATATATGTAGCTCCCATACAACTGATTGCGATTTTTGTTATAACTCCTCCATCTATGTAGCTGGGAACATGAAATTTTGCAATATTTCCACCCATTATCAAAAAAATACTCGGATCGCTATAACTTATTGTGTCCATACAACTTATTGTTCAGATATGAGATTCTTTGTTATAACTTCTCCATATATGCAGCTAGAAACATGACATTTCGCACTATTTTCACTCCTTATCAACAGAAAGTTTACACTAAAATTAACAAAGTTCGGGTCACTATAACCTATTTATTGCCCCCCATACAACTGATTGTTCAGATATGGGGTTTTACTGTAAAACTCTTTTATTTGGACAGATAAAACCGATAAATTTCGTAAGCTATTTTATAAATAATAATACAAAGTCTACTGAGAAAATCGTCAAAATCTCTGCTGTATAAGCTTTATCTCTTGTACCACCGATTGTTCAGTTACCAGTTTTTGCGATCTGTTAAATTAAAATTTTCAGACGTTCATGAAAGGTATGAAGCCTTCGGCATAGCCGAAGACAGCGCTGCTCTTACTTGTTTACAGATAAAAAACTTGTCGAACATACTTTGTATGGCAAAAAATTAAAAAAAGTAAAAAGTCAGCAGTAGCTACTACTACTACAGACCTACTAGTAGGTCCAAATTTGCACTTCATTAAAGCAGAATTCAATAGACTACAAAACTGCATACCATATTTTTTTGTAAAGATGCCGACTAAAAAGTTCAAAATTTTAGTGAAATTTCCAGAAATTTCATAATTTTTGTACAAAGTCCGAAGCTTGGATTTTGTAATGTTCCAATTGAAATAAATGCACGCGCTCGATTTAAGGTTATACTAATAATAATTTTAATATATATTTCATGGAAAACCTCGTGTGACATTGTACGGTATCTATACTAGAAGAAGATGAAAAAAAGGGTAATATGAAATATGTATGTACATATATAAATGAATAATGACAATAGGGAAAAAGGGTTGCCAACTATTGGTAAATACATAACAGTGTCTCCCACGCTTAATAGCGAACATGGTCCTGCAAGTGTGTAGGAGGCCTTCTGATCCTACTCGATCTTCTTACGGGATCGTCTGGCGTTGATAATGGTGTAGGTTGTGAGATTGACGCTGGTCGCGTAGCCGGAGTGGTTACTGTATGTTCAATGTGAATTTCATCTCTTTTTGATCTTCGTTGTACGGGTGGTTCCGCAAGCGTTACAGTCTTCTTCGGTGGATCAATACCAGATTTGTACAATTGGTTTATGTGACGTTTCAATTCATACCCGTCATCTAGTTTTACTTGATAATGAAGATGTCCAAACTTGCGTTTCACCACACCAAATTTCCAACCAGGTTTATTCCTCTGAAACCACCGCACTTGTACTCTATCGCCTACGCTTAGGTGTCGAACTCGGGAATTAGGTACTGCAGATTTCAATTGCTTTACTGGCCGCATAGCGTCCAATTTAATTCTCAGGTCACGTCCCAGGTACATTCGAGCTGGGCTTTGACCATTTGCCAATGGGGTTGCCCTATAGCGAAAAAGGATTTCTCGTAATTTAATATTTAAAGGTACGTTTTCATCATCATTCGCTTTTAGCTTCTTTTTCAAAATTTGGACGTATCTCTCAGCCAATCCGTTAGTTGCTGGATGTCCAGGGGCTATAAACTTTTGGATAATTCCGTTTTCGCAACAAAATTTTCTAAACATTGCACTTTGGAATATTGTTGCGTTGTCCGATACAATTGTTTGTGGTAATCCGTGTGTTGCACAAATATCTTGTAATAAATCTATTGGCTTTTCAGAAGTTGGGGCATCTCTTATTATACGGATCTCCGGCCATTTAGATTTTGCATCTACTAGTACGAAAAAATAGTAATTTTGAAATGGCCCTGCGTAATCAATATGGACTCTTTGAAAATTTTCGATCGGCTCTTCCCAATGATGGGTTACAACTTTCGGAGGGCTTTTCCTCACTTCCGCACAACTAGGACATGATTTTACTATTCGCTCTATATCAGTGGAAATGCCCTTCCAAAAACAGTATTTTCTTGCAAGCTGCTTCATTTTGACTATGCCCACGTGTGTATAATGTAGTTCTTTTAATATTTCTGCACGTAGCTTCGATGGTATAACGATACGATCACCTTTAAATATGACACCATCTTGCAATGAATAATTGGGATCACAATTCTTACCGTCCGCTAAATCTTTCTTTAGTTTTGCGAGTTCCACATCACGTTCTGTTTCGTTTGAAATAGTAGTGACATTGATTGAAAATGTTGATATTTGGTTGATCTTTCCGTCCTGAATATTTCGTACCTCTTCGTCCAAAAAACGTTTAAACGTTGGTATTTCCTTGATGGGTGCTCTCGATAAACATCTACGTTCACATTATCTTCAGCTATACGATGTTGAATCTTGTAGTTGAATCCTTGTAAGAATGAGGCGTAACGCAGTAGTCTTGCTGATGTCATAGCTGGTGTTTTTGCACTTTGATGAAATATTCTTGTTAGGGGGCGATTATCTGTCAATAATATAAACTCTCTTCCGTATAAATACATAAAAAACTTATCAACGGCAAAAATAATTGCTAACGCTTCCCTGTCAAGCTGGCTGTAGTTTGGTTCCGCTTTGGTTAATGCTCTTGAAATAAATGCTATGGGACGCTCCTCTCCCTCAACAATATGTGATAGTACGGCAGCTATACCAGTCGGACTTGCGTCACATGCTAATGTTATCGGCAATGCTTCATTAAAGGGTACTATAACCCTGTCTTTAAGAATTTCCTGTTTGAGGTTTTTGAATGCTTTTTCGCATTGCCCTGTCCAATTAAATTTTCTATTTTTTTCTAAAAGCTGACGTAAAGGAAATGTTAGTGTTGATACATCTGGTAAAAATTTTGAATAATATGTAATCATTCCAAGGAATCTTCTTATTTGCTCTATATTTTCAGGTCTTGGCATGTCTATAATTGCCTGCATTTTATCTGGACATTTTGAAATTTTGTTATGGCTTACTACATACCCCAGATATTTAATTTCTTCTTTAAAATATTCACATTTTCTTTTGTTGACGTGTAATTGATATTTATTTAATCTTTCAAGGCATTTGATTAGGCGGTATTCACATTCTTTCAACGTTGCACCATGGATAATTATGTCGTCGAAATATGCGATTGTACCATCGAGGCCTTGCAATATTTGGTCTAGAATACGGTTAAACTCACTTGGGGCAGTTTTAATTCCAAAAGATAAACGATTCATTTGGTACGTACCTCGGTGTGTTGAAATAGTTTGCACTTCTTTGCTATCGTCATCCACTCGTACGTGAAGATACGCCTTGTATAAGTCTAGTTTACAAAAATATTTTGAGTTCTTTAATGTGTTGAAAATTTCGTCGACTCTTTTGATTGGATAATGTGCGACTTCCAGTTGAGGATTAACAGCTACTTTGTAGTCCACGCATAGTCGCACGTTACCGTCAGGTTTTGGTATTACCACCAATGGTGAACCCCAATTGCTTGTATTAACTTTTGTAATTATACCGTCTCGCTCCAAATTATCAAGCTCATGTTCCACTTTTTCGCGTAGCGCAAAAGGAACCTGCCTTTCTTTTAAGAACACGGGTTTTGCTCCCTGTCGTAATTTTAGACTACAGACCAAGTCCGGAATGCTACCGACTCTTTCTTCGAAAATTTCTGAAAATTGCTGCTCGATTTCCGATATAGAATTTATGTTGTTGTTGCTAGTATCATTTTTAGAACTGTCTTTATCGATTTCGTGTAGATTAATTTTTAAATGACGTATCCATACACGACCTAATAATGCGGTACGTTTTGATGACACAATATACAAGTCTTCTTTGGATTTTCTATTTTTGTAACTTACGTCCACAGTTACGACTCCAATTGGCACAAAAAGATCATCTGTATAGACTCGGAAAGCAATATTTGTTTTTCTTAGCGGTGTCTTGATATTTGATTTCATAAATTGATTTTCCGGCAGCAACGTGTAGCCGGCACCTGAGTCAACTTCGAAGTTTTGTTTTCTTCCATTAATTAAAACATCTGTATAAAATTTTTCTGCATCTATAGATGAACTTTTTGCAGCACTTTGCTCATAAATATCGATAACTTGATTTACACCATAATATTCCTCTTCTGTTGTGTAGGATTCAATTGCATTTGATGTAGCTGCGTTATTGTTTACATTTTTCGATTTCTTTTGCTTCATTTTATCTTGAATACATACTTTCTGCAGGTGACCAGTCTTGCCACATGAACNCTATAGATGAACTTTTTGCAGCACTTTGCTCATAAATATCGATAACTTGATTTACACCATAATATTCCTCTTCTGTTGTGTAGGATTCAATTGCATTTGATGAAGCTGCGTTATTGTTTACATTTTTCTATTTCTTTTGCTTCATTTTATCTTGAATACATACTTTCTGCAGGTGACCAGTCTTGCCACATGAATTACATTTTAACTTGCTTTTATCTATATTGCATTCCTTCGATAAGTGATTACTACGGCCGCATCTTAGACACAAACCTTCTATCCCCAATTCGCTGTAGTTAACTCTTGTTGATGACTTCGAGTTTTTATTTCGGGACCAACTTCGATTACGATTTCTATTGCTACGATAGTTATTCTTACCAACATGTTGACGGATTTGCTGCACATCACTTGTTGAGCCTNCTTGCTTTTATCTATATTGCATTCCTTCGATAAGTGATTACTACGGCCGCATCTTAGACACAAACCTTCTATCCCCAATTCGCTGTAGTTAACTCTTGTTGATGACTTCGAGTTTTTATTTCGGACCAACTTCGATTACGATTTCTATTGCTACGATAGTTATTCTTACCAACATGTTGACGGATTTGCTGCACATCACTTGTTGAGCCGGTTTGGTTTGCAATCACGTTATTATTTATTTTAGCGGCTTCCAACGTTGTTGCTTTTTCAACTATTTGCTTGAATGTTGCCTTCGGGTTTTGTAGAAGCTGTTCTCTAATATGCCCATCGCGTATCCCTCTGATTAGTTGGGATCTTAGAAAAATATCTGAGATAGACTTCCCACATTCGCATACAAACTCACATTCCATTGCTCTTTTCTGTAGAGTAACTACGAAATCTGTCAGAGACTGCTCGCTATTCTGAATTTCACAAAGAAATTTGTGTTGCTCTACCAAAACGTTCTTTGCTGGACAGAAGTGTTTTTCCAGTAATGCTATTATTTCATCATATTTCAGCACATTTATGTTTTTAGGTGATGCCAAAGTTGCTAAACGTGAATACGTCGCTGGTCCAATGTATTGTAGAAGCAATTTTGCACACATATCTTTATCTCCAACAATTTTTCTAATATGGAAATGGTTTTCCAGGCGCTCTTTATATGTTTTAAATGGTTCTACTTTTGGATCGAATGCTTCGAAGGTTGAAATTATGTTGACGTTGGTACTGCTCGTTTGTTGATTTGCTGCGATTTGCTGTTGCTGCTGTTGCATCGTGGTCATCATGGCGGTTATCGCCTGAAGCAATTGTTGAATTTGGGTCTCCATTTTATTGTAATGTTATGACCGTTCACGTCACTTTAATGCTTGAGTTGCCTATTTAAATAACACTTTTCGATTTTACTACTCGTCGCCATTTATTGTAATGTTCCAATTGAAATAAATGCACGCGCTCGATTTAAGGTTATACTAATAATAATTTTAATATATATTTCATGGAAAACCTCGTGTGACATTGTACGGTATCTATACTAGAAGAAGATGAAAAAAAGGGTAATATGAAATATGTATGTACATATATAAATGAATAATGACAATAGGGAAAAAGGGTTGCCAACTATTGGTAAATACATAACAGATTTATATGGTGTTTGTTAAGTAATCAGCTATATAACATTGAATAAACTAAAGAAAAATAGCCAAAACTTGCTAAAATGTCGCGTCCCAGTTTATATTTGGGTCACTGTATTTTTTCCAAAGAACGTAACGGGGATTTTTTAATAAAATATTTGTTATAAATGTCTTTAATTTTAATGTGGCAAAAACTCTGTGGGAAGAAAATGGGCGCGTTCATAAGACGTAGTTGTTGTCTAATCGTTGACTGTTTGTTTTAGAAACGCACAATTGAGTAGTTCCGCGCAGCTCAACAGTTGGCAACATTCCGCCATTTTTTCCATGGCAAAATTTTTTCGTTACTTGAACTCAACGTGTTGGGTTAGCCTTAACAGCGGATCGAAAAGACTTACGGCGTTTGTATTAAATGAAGCGCCGTTTTGTTAGGTGCCAGCTATAAACAAATTTATTAAATTTTATATTACTGATGTGATAAAGTATCTAAAATATTTTATAATAATACTACGTTTTTAAATATATATTTATTAGGATGTTTGTTTTATAATTGTACACTCTTTAATTCATTATAACATTGAAAGCGTTTTTCAACATAGCGGCAACTCAGCGTTGAATTGCAAATATTATCGGCGAAACTATCTCTGTTTATTGCAACTTCATTTGTTTACATTTAACAGCTGTTCATTTGACAGCATATTCATAGAGCCGTTTCTAAGACGTTATTGCTGGGTTCAACCGTTGCCAACAGTTTCGTAGCAGTTGAGCTAAACAGCTACCTCTTATGAACGTGAATAATTGTATCGTGGTGCTAATATCCTTTAGTGTTGCTTATTATTGCCCTCTGGCAGGCATGTCTAGAGAGTGAGCAGGTCTTTAAAAACGGGAACGCTTCGAATATATGGACATCAAAATAAAATTATATAGTTAATTTAATTATTAAAAACGTAAAAAGCGACCGGCTTGTTCAATATAAATTACTGTTTTTTTTCTCGAAGTAATGTTGCCCTATTTTCCTCAGCCTTTACACAGCTTTACGTGTTAATTTCTCAAAATATTGCCCTCCGGATAAGCAAAAGTGCTATACTTTCTACTAAAATAGCCATTTTGCAGGACGAAAAGTAACCTATGCAAATTTTACCATAAAAGAAGAAAAATTTTTCAATAAAAAAAGGCCATAAGTTTGTAATTCATCTATTTTTTATATTTATGTAAGTAGTACAAACATGGCTTCTGATGTTGAGCTTTAATTAATCAAGTATAACGACAGTTTCCTTTGTTAACTAAAAATAATTTTTTCTTAAGCTTTCAACTTTATTCAAATAAAACATATTAATTTTAGCTGAATCATTTTAGCCGTTTTTTTTTTGCCAATTTAGCCGGTCGGCCCAAAAAGTTCTGGCAATACTGATTACAAAACTGCGTTCGAATTTAACTGCAACTGCAGTATATCTACTGCTCTTTTTAGCGAGATTCAGTGTTCTACTGCGGTTATTTAAAATCTACTAGGATTTATTTTCAAGGTTATTTTTGTATTACTCTGTTTATTCAAGACAAAAAGCATCTTTTACAACCACTTGAATTACTACAATTTTTGAAAAAATATAAATTTGTCGACCGGAAATATATTTTGAATCAGCAAAAGGTGTTTCTGCAACATAACATTTCGTTATTTATGTATATACGTATTTGTGTGTAAAATATATCATGTTATTAGTATAAAACAAGGAATGAAACCGAAACCCAAACCGAAACCGTAACCGTGTAAAACCGTTTCGTTTTTCAAAACCGAAACCGAAACCGTAACCGTTATCTTGACCTGAAAAGGAACGATACCGAAACCATTTCAATCACAGGTTTCAATCGGTTTCCAGAAATTTACAAAAATAATAAATAAAAATTTCTTTGAAATAAATGATTTATTTAACCAAAATCAGCAACATTTTGCTAAAATTCTTGTTAAGTAGTAGATAAATATGGCAAGGTAACTTTTCGCAAACATCTGCTGATGACTTTGTTGTTGTGAATCGATAATCGATTAATTATATTTAAGTAGTTTCTTTCCCGTACGCAATGCGAGATCCCGCGTGTGCCCAAAATAGCCCAGAAATCATTCCTGTACTCAACAAAATGGGTAATAGAGAGCGAAAATTCGAGCGTATTCGATCGTAAGTGTATTCTTCTTCCTGTCCGAAACAGCCCGGAATTTTTCTCCGAGTAAAAATGGATAAAGTGTCAAAGTGCATATCAGCTGTATTGTGTTTACATGTTGCCTGCATTTACTTGGTGCTTTTAAGGAAAAGTTAAGGAAAATGGCCTGTTGATGTATTTTCAATCTATGTACTTAAAATCAAATTTGTGAAACCAAAATTCAATTTCCAAGTGTTTGCATTTAATACCATGTTCTGACCGACAACCAAAACATTTTTCCTTCATTTTCTTTTCATTTACAACCTTTAACTTTCATTCTTATTTTGCTTTGGCCAGGCAATTAACAATAAATCCGAAATGGCGTATTAAAGATGATAAAATATGACGTCCACTTCGATAAATAATCGAAAAAAACTAGTGAAGACACCGATTGGAATGAGTGGAAAGTGAGTTTTCAAGTAGGTTTCAGCGAAAACTGGTTTTCGTTTAACAGATTTTATATGGACGAAAACACAAGTTTCAGGTCGAAAACCAGTTTTAGCAACGAAAACATGTTTCCGATGTCGGTCAGAACATGGTATAAGTGACAAAAACAAGAACAACGTGAATCAGCTGCTTCTCGACTTGTGGGCACGAAATGTGGGTTTTTGCGTTTCCGTACTTCTGAACTTTGTTCCATTCTCTCTCTCTTATTCTCTAATTACCAAATCCGGTCCGGATTGTTAGGGAAAGAACCTAGTGTTGATATTATCAGTGAACTGTAATTTTCGATTTTCTTTCCTCAACGTTTAAGACATTGTGATTTAAATAATATCAACAAAATTTCTGTGAAAACCGAAACCGGAACGAAACCGAAACCAAAACCGAAATAAATTTTGAAGAACGAAACCAAAACCGAAACCGAAACACTTGGCAAAACCGAAACCCAAACCGGAACGTTATTTTGAATCGGTTTCATTCCTTGGTATAAAATCTAAAATCTACTACGTTAAAATTCGTTTTGCTGCGTTTGATTTTTAAATTCACTGCGGTTTACGAATTTCTTCGTCCGAACCTTGGTCACCTCAAAAAATCGTCATTTCGGCTAAAAAACGTCAAGTTTTTATTTATTATACTTTTTTAACAATAAAAATAACTAACAAAATTAAATCCAATAAATATGACCACACAATACATAACCAAGGTATAAAAAAAATAAAGTAAAATAATAAAAAA